ATCCATCAATCGGTTTTTTTCGCAACACCTCTATTTCGTTTCATTTTCGATGTAGACGTGAAAAGGGGGTCCAAAAAGGAGTTAATACCCAATCATCCATAAATTCACATATGAAATATCAGCCTCTAAAATAATATTTCTGATACTACTACACAAGTGGAGATCGAATATTCTGAACAGATCTAAACTGCAATTTTAGACTAATAGACGAAAACATGCATGGTTCTCCCCCAAACTCAGACTTTCAACAGTGACTTCAATGGGACGACTCGCACCACGATGTACTAGATTTATCCTCATCTGGAACGCTCAAAGCCGAATATTTGTAAGCCAAGGATGTATAAGAAAGAACCGAAACAGTTGAAGAGCTATATGACCAAACAGGACCTAAAAAAATAGCCAAATCCATCTATAAGGTCAACTTTGCCTGAGGGAGCTGAAACCTTAGTTTCTTATAATTTCAAAATTTCTTAAACGGACAATTTAAGAAAGGTTTGTTATAAATCATTTCAGCACCTAAGTACCTAAGTACTGAGCTGCATGATAATACCCTCGGAGACTGATAGTGCACCAGCAGAGGTATCGATCCAGTGCTGTAAAAAATGAAAACAACACGTTATAAATTAAAAAAAGAGGGTTTTGAAAGTACATATTCCAAGTCAGGACTCTGTCAACCAATTGTCAAATGTTCCAAAGGAAATTATTTGGAATGATTTTATCCTTTGTGTACAGGTTGTATATCGACATCGTTGAAGGCAAGAATATCTCACCGTCAGTTAACACTAGCACAGTCATGAAACATGGATTTTGAAGTTAAAGGAGAATTCAGGGAAATGTGTGATGATGAACATTTATATCGCTTTGATCTAAGACCGGGAGATGTACCGTCATTTATACAAATTGAAATGCAAGAATAAAACATATTGAGCTAATCATTCATTTGATAACAATTTATACAGTTTTATATTTGATATTTTGCACTGCTACTCCCGACTTTTGTTTCGTGTAGGGTATAATGATACATAAAAAGACTAACATGAATTACCAAAAATATTTGCCTGTACGGCCAACCATACCAACCACCAATACCCAGCTTATTCGTGAAATAAAGGGATGCAGAAACAAACCAAAGAAGAGGAGGAACGTAAAAGAAACACAACAGCGTAAAAGATCTGTAGAAAAAAGCACAAATATTCTTTTAGTAAAAGTGCATATGTCTTAAAAATTGAAACGCAATTGTCCATTAAAAAGCGCCACGTCCCATGTCTAAATTTTAATTAGATTTCTAGAATACCATTCACAGTTTTTATTGTTTGCTGCTCCCGGTCTTGCACATGTATTACATTGTTTTTGTTTTTAATTTATCATGTTTATTAAGCAAGAAACTAATAGGACTGGAATATAGTCCAAGAGAGAAGACAAATGCAGTTAAGAGCACATTTAAATGAGTGAGAAAAATCCATAGACAGAAAAAATTGAAATATTCCTAGATATAAAAGCATAATACAAGTAGCTATATTGATTGGCCTGGTGTTTAATATCTGTGTGTAGATGACAACTTAAACAATTATCTTTATTGATGTCCAGGTACACTTGATGCTTATCTCTCTAACTAGTCTTTCTTAAATAAACAAGCGTTCTGAAGCCCTTGCTTCCTTGGCAACCACGTGATAATGATGTCGTTTTATCGTCCTTTGTTTACTGAATACGGACGGAAGCTGACAAGAGAAAATAAGGGACATCTTGTTCTATTTGTTTAGGATGACGTCCGATTCTCATCAAATAAAATTTTATTCCTTCAAGATTTTTTTATTGAAAGATAAAATGACGGTAGTAGAAAATGTTGCAAGTAGTAAAATATTATATTGCACTTGTTCAATATTAATCTAGAAGATAAAATATGGCTCAATTTATTGTCCAACTAACATGATGCAAGGAAGAAACCATCATGTTTCTGTCAGCCTTTCCGTTTGAAGCGTAGGCAGTTCTTCGGGTGGTGTTTCCAACCTGCGTGGGTGACCAGACTGCATTTGAATGTATATTTCATACTATTCTGATCGTATTCGTAAACTGTCATTGCGAACTTGGTGTCTTTCTTCTTGCTACAGTATAATGGCAAGACATTTTATGAAATTCAAGTGATAAAACTTAAGAAATCATCAGGGAATGTATCTCGATTGTGCAGGGTGGCTATACATACTGTTGGTTCTTGTCCCGTCTTGTTAAGGCTTTGATATAAGTTGCAGTAGGGATTGCAATTCATTGGTTGTTTGATTTGTTGGTATTTGCTCAACGTCCAGTGGTGAACATTTTAGTCATATTCAGGACGCAAAACAATTTCACAATAAATCCAATATTTAGGTTCTGCAAAGTTGGTTGACCGGGGATGAAAGGAGATCAATTAATAAAATTGAGAATGGAAATAGGGAATGTGTCAAAGAGAAAACAACCCGACCATAGACCATAAGACTGTTACTGCATGAATAAAGAAAGAATAATAGACAGGGCAGACATTTTAATTTGATGTACATGTTGTAAATATAACAGTATTACTGTTCTTTTGTTTAGTTATTCCAGATACCGTGTATGCATGCCGTTAGAAATATGACTTGGTCAGATACAGGAGTTATCATACCAGTCCTTTCTTGTATTATATAGTATAAATTATTGCCACTTTGGTTGTCACCTGTACAAAACTACACAGGCAACCTTACCAATTTATACTTTCATATTCCTTTGCATGGGATCTGTATGTGACTGTAATGTATTTAAAGATATTTTCCTGCAAATTAAATACTAAAAACATTTCCTTGTGTTCCTGCATGTGGTCCTATTCGTGCTCCTCATGGTCGCCTGGAATTCTCCCAACCAATGCAGCAAAAGAATCCATTCTTAAAGAGCTGGAGCGAAGTCCGTTTGGCTGTGTGCAATGTATGAATTTACACAGCAACGTCCTGTCAGGATGGCAACGTGAACTCGGATTTTATGATGAGTGCCACGTTAAAGAAACCTTGTAACAACCTTTATAGGGATCCGTAGCTGACCTTTTGCAACGCAAACTTTCTGCTCATATCTAGTATCCCTTCAGTTTCAAGTAACAGTCTAACCTTACGTTTTTGACTAATTGTTTATTTTTTCTCGGCCTGAATAAACATGAAATATTTGTTACTGAACGTTAAGCCAAATAAAGTGAATCACTCATTTGTGTATCGATGATGTACTTCCTATATTTCGTTTGTTTACTTCTTTATATTCTGTTAAATTTGGGTTCTAGAAAACTTCATGGAATAGAATGTGGTTCAAATTATTCCCTATTTTCGCCTAGAATCGTCTGTTTGACTGTGGAGGATATATACGTAGCCACGTCTCGTCGGAATGTGGACGCGAAATCTGATTAACCCTGTACACAGCGTTTTTTTGGGTTCGCAGTGGCCCGTACAAGGCAAGCTTATGCCTTATTTTTGTGGCAGTACCTATGTTCCTCTCTTCATGCTTATCAACTTCCAATCAACATTGCAGAACCTACTATTAAATATTGTAAATTTGTTCTGCGTCCTGAATATTAAATTTTCACTAATTGGTTTATTTAGAGTAAGGATTGCAGAAAATTATATAGGGGTTATCAAATATGTATATTATCCTTTCCAATCCGTTGGTCGATTCCTTGCTTGAGTTTTTTTTTAGAGTTTGAATGTAAAATCCACTTGGTACTGTAGGGAACTAACAATTCAAAAGCAACAAAATCGATATACGGAGCATGATTTGAAATGCAATCAGACATCTACAGAATATTCTCCGATTCCCAAACATTTCGTCCATATAGGAAACGCGCGTCTGACGTACAAAATTTTTATCCTGGTATCTATGATGAGTTTATTTTCTATTTGCCAAGAACCTCGAATTCTTTCTTCCTTTTGCATCGTATACGTCATATGCGATCATTTGCAGGATGCCACTAAAACCTTTAAATATGTGACAAATGTATCAGCTTCATTTTGATTTAGCGCAATGTATGTACCTTTTGTTGATTTCTTATTTTATTAGCATTTTTTTATACTTTCATGTTTTTACTGATTTTTCTCTGTCTATTTTTCATGTGCAGTATATTTCATCACTATCCGTTCACAAATTATTTTTTTTTCTTTATACTATACATTTACTGATGTATTTATACTAATTAGTGTACCAGTTGATAGTCCCCGACTCGAAAGGATAAAGCTAAATTTTAGACCTTGCTCTTTTATTAAATAATAGTCTTTTTCACTCTTATTTATTACCTTCGTTTATTTATTTTTCAGTTCTCATATTATTATTTCATTAATGTACATTTGATTTGTTTAGTAATACGTTTATAATGTTCCAATACGATAATGTAGTTAAATTAAAATGTCACTCTCTCGTCTTTGGTGGTAGCAGCAGTCGTCTTAATGATACTGCACATTCTGGCTTTTTAAAATGTATGCATACATGTTTAATTCATAACACTGGACTGTTGTGTTTATTGTTTTTTTAATGTGTTAGAGGTTTTACAAAGTAAACGCTAATGTTCAAGTGAATGTAATTTGCAAGTGTTAAAATAATTTTTAAAAAATCACTAGAAGAAAATGTTTTGAACTTTCATACTTTTAAATAAATCAAAAGTGAAAAGGACAGACGGAATAAAAATTATGTTTACTTAGTATCAAATAACATTCGATGTTTACAATACACAAAAACAATACATGTAATATTCATGCCTTAACTTCATATGCTGTGAAATATTTTAATTAGTTCAATAATGCTAGTATAACTAAATATGTCAATCAAGTGTGCATTTCAACATTTGGAACACTAAAGATATTGAATTGATAAAACTAATACGGGTGAATGTGTTAACATTGTAAAAAAAAACAAACACTGCACAAAAGGAGAGTGGCTATTGGACCTCACTGTACCGCCCCCTGTTCTTGATTGACAGTTATGAATCAATGACATTTAACCACAAGATTTAATGGAAAATATGCCGATGTAAATACCAGTAATTAATAGGTGATTCTAACAGGTGTTACTGGATACTTTTTTTTAGAGAAATTGAAGAAAGAAAAATCAAAGAAGAATACAAGAATGGACAAAGAAGGTAGATACGGTCATTTATTAATTTATTTCTTCCCTTGTCTTAATTTTAAAGACTCTTAATATTCTTTTAGATTTCAATTTATTTTTAATATGTTGTCTTGCACATATTTTTGTATGTTTGATAGTTATTTAATTTTCACATCTTAATTCCTCGCTGCCCTTTTCATTGGGGGAAATTATGAAGTATGGAATTTGTGCATAATTTTATAGACGCATTATCCATTTCAAGTTAATGCCGTTTAGTGGAAAAATAAATTGAAAACGTATTATAAAGTATCAATTAAATTTTAATATTTAATTTTCACTAGTTGGTATATAAAAGAATAAGGACTGCAGAAATTATAGAAGTTTAAAATTATGTATATCCTTAGTATTTTTATTTTTATTATTTCTATCTATATTTTTTAACATTTCGCTTGTTGCAGTTGTTTGAATTAGTATGTAGTTGTCAAAATTTACATAAATAAAATTAACACCAAAGTTGAAAACTTACAATAAAACGTTTTTAAACAAACGAATAAATCCACTCTACTTAAAAACACAAATTTACCACTTTAAAACATTATTAATATATTGAATAATTGAGCCCACAGATTTGTAACTTTTCTGGCCAATTGAAATTCTTCAAATAACTTCTTTTATCTTTAAGAAAAACTTAAAGAAGAAATGAAAAGTAGTTTGTTTATATTAAAAGATGTCAATTGCACGTCATTTGCATTACGTTTTGATATGTACAAAAATGTATATATACTTATATAAATATAAAATATACCACCCTTTCCAAAGTTTAAACATGTACAAATGTGCTGTATGTGTAGCATTAAAAATGATACGTATTTTTAACATCTAAAGTATCGTTGCTTTGATAAGAATTTTTGACCCATCGGTAAATGAACGTGGGACATAAACTATCATGACTATCGTGCCTTTACAAACAGTTATAATATACGTTGCACTTCAAATTGAAGATGTTCTTACTTATATTATTATGTGTATGCATAGGTCTGCATCATACTTGACAAAGGGTTATTGTTCTTCTGAATTAATCACATTTATTTGACTGAAAGATTACATAATAAACACTCATAATAATGTATAGTGCAATGTCTTTTTCAGTTGTAAGTAAAAAATAGATAATAATAATACAGAAACTAAATATTTAACATTTTCAACTCTGCTTCAAATATAAAAATAAGGAGATGTTAAACATGTATGATCGCTAATGAAACAACTATTCACCAGAGTCCAAATGACGTGGATGTAGGCAATTATAATAACTTTACGGCCTTCATCAATGAGTAAAACCAATTTTGCATAGTCATGCAGGTATAAAAGAACTCGATATGACAGAATGTAAAAGAAAATCAAATGCACATATATCCTAAACGGTAAATGGCGTATAACAATTGACAAAGCAATATTTTAAAACAAATAAAATGTAACATGTAACACTTCGTAATACTGTCAATAACAGATGTTATGGACCTTACAGTAAACGAGTCCGCTCACTTCCCACAGTCCTTTTGCCTTTTTTAAATTATATAGAGAATGAAAATGCATTAATCCAGGAATATATACAATTATGACAGCAACCTTTCAAAACACCATGAATTGATATTTAAAACTTTTATCTGATCACATGATTTCTTGCTCACTTTTTGAAATACAAGAGTTACTCTTCAATTGCATGCAATAAATTATTGATAATCTTGATATTGTTGATTATCTAGAGCACTAACAGAGTCGTTCTTTACTTTATATACACATTTAAATAGCTATTAAAGTGGAAACAAATATATAAGGTGGGCTAATAACTGTTTTTAGAAAACTACCTTGTCCTTAAAAAACATAGCTATTTTTTTTAATAAGTTCTGAATTTAAGAACTTAAAGGAAATTTGTGTACAAACAATTATTCTTGAATTGAGAATAATGGATGACATTCGTGTTGTTAATCGTGTGGAGCATGCAGTTGATGTTTTCTGTAGCACACTGAATCATTTTCAAATTAACTCTGAACTGTCTGTGTCCTATAGTGTAGTATGGGCCAATGGATTTAGCAATATTTGTATTATCACTAAGGAACCCTTTAATTGACAGTATGTGATAGTTTTTGGTTTGCCTAGTTTTAATGTTGCATTTTTGTAAAAAAATAACAGTGATGATGGATGGTTGTTTCAAGTCCAGTAGTAAAGTAAATGCATATTCAGGACGACAACATGTTTAAGCAAAATTATAGTGAAATGTACGTGTGTTTCTGTTTTTAGCTCTTTAACGTGTTTTGTAGACTAAGTTCGTCATCATATATCCTTTTCTCGGTCATCATCACTGCAGAAACTGTCGAACTGTCGAAATTAGACTCGGACATGGAAGCGGATCCAATCATTTATAAAGGGGTTCAACAACTAAAAGGGGGATGGGTTCCACTCTTTTTTTTTGTCGATTTGTACATGTTATTGCAATAATCCGAAGACAAGGTGTACACTTTTTGTGAATATACCAATACTGACTCATTAAAATCGATACCATTTGATATTGATATCGTCCTATACGAATACTTGGTGTCAGTGATTCGATAGTTAATTTATTTTATTACTTGCATGCCATTTTAATTATTTGTAATAGTATATATGAAATATGCATAATCATTCACTGATTTCACGCGAATTTTTCCCCATAAACAAAAGGAAGTCTCTTTCATACCGTAATGCTTCATGGGTACATTTTCCAGGTATCTATCTGCCAGTTTGTTTACTTCTTAAGACATTCGCTTTCAAAAACTGCACCGAATCACTTCAACCTTATTAAACTTATATTTCACGAGTTTTCAGCCGTTTTGTTACTGAATGAAAAGACTTTATTGACTAATTTTGTAATCTTCTCAAGTTTAAATGAGAATAGAGTCCCGCTAGAGAAGTTTCCCGCCCTCACTATTGATAAACTGCTGGGAAGAAAAAGTGGTCGTCATAAGGTGAAAATTGTCAATATGAATGTTTTGACAGATCCGAATCATCTGTATTAATTGATATTTTTGTAGTTTGTGAAAAAAAAACTCAATTTGAGTATGCATTGAATTGTTCATGAATTAAATTTCATGTCATGCCAATCGATGGAGATACATGTATGTTTGCCAATGAAAGTTTTTGAAACTATTTTACACTGTATTTATTGATTTTCTTACTAAACAAGATTGCAATAAAATGATTAAACATGGTTTAATATTCATGACAATTCTGCTGTATTAATTTCGCATACACAGAACTTTGTCGACGTTTTCAGTGAGTAAACTTTGGTCGTACAGTGATTTGTTATTCATTAGCTGCGTGCATATGCTGATTTATTTTTGATATCCAGTCTATGTACAGTGATTCTTATTCATTTGTTATTCATGTACAACGATTCGTTATTCATGTACATTCATTCAATTGATATACATGTGCATGCCGTTATTCTTTATTTGTGTACAGTGATTCATGTTATTCCTGTACGATTCATTATTCGTTTGTTATTCCTGTACAGTGATTATTTATTAATTTGTTACTCATGTACAGTTATTCATTTGTTACTCGTGCACTGTGATTCATTATTCATTTGTTACTCGTGCACTGTGATTCATTATTCATTTGTTACTCGTGCACTGTGATTCATTATTCATTTGTTACTCGTGCACTGTGATTCATTATTCATTTGTTACTCGTGCACTGTGATTCATTATTCATTTGTTACTCGTGCACTGTGATTCATTATTGATTTGTTACTCGTGCACTGTGATTCATTATTCATGTTAAAATCATTCGAAACACCGATTTATTTACCCCCTGCCTTGATATTACACCGATAAAAACTGTAACAGGGCGCATGGCTTGAATATAAGCCGCAGAGCATGCACAGCAAAATTAAGTAAAAAATTAGGAAATATAAAATAAAATTAGCACCCTTGAAACTAGAATAAGTGTAAGCTTAAGACAATCCATACAGAACAAATACATGTACAGAAAGTTCAAAGTTTAATTTTCAAACTAATTTGTGACAAAATAAACAAAACATAAGAGTTATACTAACAAACATATAAAACCATGTGTATTTCAACAAACTTATATTACAGTCCACAATTCAATTGGGAGTCCGCCAAGCCTTATAGTACAAACGACTGTTTTATATAGGACCCTATACGTTCAAACTGTGCATACGTTGATCGGCTAATAATTTTAATGTTTTAAACGAAATAAGATTTCATCAACAAACTTATACTTGGACAGAATACGGACGTGGTGACATGTAGCAATACCATATATATTACAAATATTAAACAATTATATCAACTAAATATTAAATCACATACTACTTTACAAGTTTACTGATGTTAACATTCTAGTGTGCATTGAGTAAAGATGCATGTTGAGAGGGGATTATCATATTCAATGGTTAGAAAATGTATTCTCCAATTTTAATGAAGGAAATCTTTTGTATACGCTGTTGTTAAATAGATGGTTGTTAAATACATGAAAAGATTAAAATGAGCTGTAATCTTGCACAACTGTGAACTATTTGTTTTTGACAGATAGTATATATAGCGAAATCTGCAATACTACTATCACTCAGGCAATGGTTAAGATGGAAAGATTCAGTACTTTATGGTATTCCATCATTGGAAGATCTTTTTCCTATAGGTAATTTTCAAAAACGTTTATTTGCGAGTACACTCAAACTTCAATCAAACATAGGTTCTGAACCGGTTACGGTTGAGTTTTTTCAATCAATTCCTTTTAATTTTGAATATTTCAGTAATTGAATGATTCAGTTATTTTTATTTATTAATTGTCTACTTATTTATTTTAGGACATGCATGTATACAACATAGTGTACAAAATCTATTAATTTATGCGTACGTCTTAAAAGGGAACCTTTTATTTATTTTCAAGACAAACTTTTTTGTTTCAAATTGCATGGTCATAAGCTTCAGTAGTTGTTTCAGCTAATTGAAAAATTTAAGTGATAACGAA